AATGAAATCTATGTAAATAGGGAAGGGCAGAGGGGGTGAAGGGCACACAGGTAATGGGGAAAAAATAAGAACCAAGATATATCATGTACAGGTGCAAACACCCAATGATAAATGTAAATGAATTGTATACCTAAAATGTACCAATAAAAGAACTAAAAAAAAAGTAGGGAAGGGTGGAGGGGGGTGAAGGGCACACAGGTAATGGGGAAAAAAATAAGAACAAAGATACATCAAGTACAGGTACAAGCACCCGATGATAAATGCAAACATATTGTATACCTAAAATGTACCAATAAAATAATTTTTAAAAAAGAAATAAAGATCTCATTATGGCCTTGAAAAAAATGCTATTGCACAACATATAATGATTTATTTTCTCCATCAAATCTTGGCATTACTTAGTCAGAAATACAGCTACTAGTTTAATTTCTATCTTAATTGAAATTGACTGTACTTATATATTTTTTAACTTTATACTAGATTTTTTGAAATCAGAGTGATACTAGGAAAGGTTCCATTCAAAATAAGGAATTAACTTTTCAGCAAATCTTGTGTATATCAGATTACTCTAATTACTCCAATAGTCACTAATGGCATTTGAGTCTTTACTAAAAAAATGCAGGATACGTGGTCTAGTTAGTTATGTCATTATATTTCCCCTAAATATCACAGGATATTGTTCTTTTCTTATTATCATTTTAAAAATAAGACACCAGATATTAAAGAGTAATCCATGTGTCTGGTGGGATTGCTGGCATACTGCTCTAATCTTAGCTACTTATATCTGAGGAAGGAGGACCTTATCTTTCATGCCAGCTTGGGTACCATAGAGAGCCCATTTTAAACTCAGAAAGAGCGAGGGCTGGCTGTGGATGGAGTTCAGTGGTAAGTACATCAGGGTTGGATAACTTCTCCTGGGAAAAATAGAGTAATAAGAATGACCAGGTCTTGGGCCATATTCATTGAATAACTGTAGAACTTTTATATGTTGAAGGCATCTGTACATGGATTTTTCTTCCTTATGATTGAAATCTTAACTTTATTATCTATTTTTTAATCCGAAGAAAGATTACACATGGAAAGATTACACATGGAACCTCCACAGAAAGGTTTCTGTACAAAGATTTTAGAGGGCACAGTATGTGTCAGTGGCAATAAGGAAGAAATGTATTTAAATTTGGGGCTAGAAACAAACTGAAGTGATGCAATGCTATAGTATGCTACAAAGGGATTTATAATATAAATTTTCCTAACTACTAAAAAGCCTCCAAGTGTAACTAGAACCAAGAAAGAAGGCTGGAAATGAGAGCCCACCCTGTAGAAGTGTCATTACCATTCTATATCTCAAATTTGAAGTTTTTATAATTAGCAAAACTGGAAATGTATATTGAAATATCATGCCTGTTGTTCATGATAAAAGTTTGTTACTTCTTTAGCTAGTAGAAGAGGCTAAAAAAGAGATGTGTCAATACGTGAAGCATGCACGTGTTACTGTGAGCAAAACCTTGCTTCTCTAATTCCAAAGCCTGGGTAGAGGACAAGAGGGAGGAACATTAAGAAAGGTAATGGACATCAAATACACAGCTTGGGATCTGGCTGTTTGTTCCCCAGTGACTATTGTTAGAGTGAAATGGTAACGTGCTATCCACAGCATCTTTGCCTTTGGCCAAGATCTGGTGGGGTCACTGGGTGAATGGTCAGGGGACCTGAATGCCAGCCCTAGGGTGACTATTGGCAAGAGAGTATTTGGAACAATAAATGGAAATGCTGTTTTGCAGGAGCCTAGAGTTAAATATTAAGATGCCATGTGTGAAAGTAACAGAAACAGAAGGAAAAGTGAGATATTCTTACTTAAAGAGAAACTAATGTTTTGAGAAGACCTATCTTGCTATGGACTTGTCTACTTCAATTG